AGTAGTAGAAGTAGTGGTAGAAGTCGTCGTAGTCGTAGTTGATGTTCTAGTACTCGTAGTTGTAGTACTAGTTAAACTAGTATTATTATTAGTAGTAGTAGTAATAGTAGTAGTAGTAGTAGTACGACTACTACGACCAGTAGTAGTAGTCGTCGTCGTCGTAGTAGTCGTCGTCCTAGTAGTAGTAGTAGCGGTAGTAGTAGTAGTTGTTGTTGCTGTAACAGTGGTAGTAATAGTAGTGACAGTAGTAATAGTAATCGTAATAGTAGTAGTAGTAGTAGTAGTAGTAGTAGTAGAAACATATTCTTTGCCGAACTAGTAGTAGGAGTAGAAGTAGTAGTAGTAGTAGTAGTAGTAGTAGTAGTGTAGTAGTGTAGTAGTAGTAGTAGTAGTAGTAGTAGTAGTAGTAGTAGTAGTAGTAGTAGTAGTAGTAATAGAAAATAGTAGTAGTAGCATCAGTAATAGTAATAGTAGCAGCATTAGCAGTAGCAGTAGCAGTAGCAGTAGCAGTAGTAGTCGTAGTAGTAGTAGTAGTAGTAGTAGAAGAAGTAGTAGTAGTAGTAGTAGTAGTAGTAGTAGTCGTAGTCGTAGTCGTAGTAGTAGAAGTAGTAGTAGTAGTGGTAGTAGTAGTAGTAGTGGTAATAATAGTAGTAGTAGTAGTAGTAGTAGTAGTAGTAGTAGAAGTAGTAGTCGTAGTAGTAGTAGTAGTAGTAGTAGTCGTCGTAGTAGTAGTAGTAGTAGTAGTAGTAGTAGTAGTAGTAGTTATAGTAGTAGTAGTAGTAGTAGTAGTAGTAGTAGTCGTAATAACATACTAGTGCTAGTAAAAGTAGTAGTCCTTGTGATCGTAGTAGTTGTAGTAGTAGAAGAAACAGAAAGAGAAGTCGTACTACGAGTGCCCGAAGTGGCCGCGACGGGATGGCAACGCGAGAATCATCGGACAATTAGAAGCGTCTACGAAGGCCCTCAGAAGCCTCTCGGAAGCCTATCAGCAGGCTCTCAGAAGCCTCTCCGAAGCTTCCACGAAGCCTCCACGGAGGCTCTCAGAAGCCTCTACGAAGGCTCTCAGAGCCTCTCAGAAGCCTCTACGAAGGCTCTCCGAAGTCCCTACGAAGCCTGTAAAAAAGAGCCCCAACATGCTTCGAAGAGAGCCCCCACAAGGCCTCGAAGAGGTCTCTTGTAGAGGAAAACAAAAAAACTTCCTTGTTGCCTGGCCGGACTTGGTCCCTGAACGGCCGCGGGGTTGGACCCACCGGGCCGGGAAAGGTACCAGCTGGCCGGGCTTGGTCCTAACGTCGGGTCCCGGGGGGAAGGGGGGGAGTCCCGGGGGGCGGTCGCTGCCCGTGAGACGCATCCCCCCGCAGAGCGGCTTTCGGGGCCCCGAAGAGCTCCCCAGGACGCGGCAGGCGTGCCCCAAAGAGGCCCCCAAGACGGCGGCCCTGGAGGGCCCCGAATCGCCGAGTTGTCGGGCCGAGGCGCCAAAGTAGCCTCCAGACGGCCCCAGAGGTTTTCGAAATGCCTCAAGAGGCCTCCAAGAGCACTCCCTAGAGAGCACCCAGGGGCAAGAATTAAAGATCCTCAGATTCTCTAGAGTTTTTTGAGGATTCTGGCGTTCTCGCCTTGTCGGCTTCCCGACACTCCAAGACAGCCCCAGAGACCCCCATGATCGCCCAAGAGGCCTCCAAGAGGGCACCAAAACCCAAGAGGGCCCCAAGACCGCCCACGAGGCCTCCAAGACAGCCCAAGAGGCCAACAAGACGGCTCCGAGAGGCACGGATGCACCCTTCCACCCGCTCCCCTCCGACACTCCAATCTCTTCGTATCGTCGGCCCCCAGGGATCTCGACAACTTCCCTGGGGCCGGCTTTTCATCCTGGCCACTCTCGTGACGGCCCAGGGGCCAGGAAAAGGCCCCCAGAGGCCGAAGCCGACGAGCAGCTGGCCGTCGCGATGCTTTCTGGGAGCGCCTGGAACGGAAGGCCCAGCCTTGGAGGCGGCCGGGGAGCCTGAATTGGTTTGGTCCCGGAAAATCTGCCAGGAGGGGGGCCCGGGATGAAGCCAAACCCGCTCAAGATCGGTCCCCAGACCCCTCGCCGGGGTCCATCTGGTGCAGTTTTTCGCCCCGGATATCCCTTTCCTGGCGGCCCCGGGGCCCGAAGAGGGCCCCAGAGACACAGCACGACCAAAAAGGCCTTCTCGAACCCAGCACCTCGAACCTGCCCCGCCCCCTCCGTTGAAGGGGCCCAGGGACACACACACACACACACACACACACACACATACACACACACGCACAAATAAATACACAAACAAATCCCAGGATTCCCTATATGCTTCCATCTGTTTCGGATGTTCGTCTTCCGCCCCCCTTCCCATCTTTTCGCATGCTTCCCTGGGGATCGACGATCAATCGTGCCTGTGTGTCTTTCTCCTTCCTCCTTCCTGCTGGCCGGCACGGCTGCACCTCGGATATCCCCCTGCCGGCTCCGCCCCCCGCCCCCCGCCGTCTTGATGCACCACGACAGCCGCGACCGGCCGGCCGGCAGCCCGGCGGCCAGCCGCGACAGTCTCTGGCCGCCCTGCCTGGCGGGGCGAAGGGCCGACGACGAGGACGAGGACGACGACGAGGACGAGGACGACGACGGCGACGGCGACGGCGACGACGGCGACGACGACTGACCGACCCAGAAATCCTTGCGTCGTGATGAAACACTACTTGTTATGCTGTGACCGTCAAACAGGGGTCCAGACCTCTGGGGGTCGACGTTGTGCAACAAAAGCCATAGGGAGTCTGGGGGCAACAACCGACGACGACGACGACGAAGACAACCGACGACGACGACGACAACCGACGACGACGACAACCTGACCATCGCTCGGACGTCCATTCCCCGTGCTTTTTTTGGTTCCGTGCGTGTTTTTTTCGCCAAATGATCAAGGATGCTCCTCGATGGTCCTCGCCAAAGGAAAAATGCACACGTTCGAGCGATGCCAAGCAACCGACCTGAACAGACGACGAAAGACCGACCGACCGACCGACGACGAACAACTGACCGACTGACGGTGACCGAGCGGAGACGTCGGGCGGCCACGGCGGCGACGGAGCGCGTCCGAGGGAGGCTTCGGGAGAAAGCCTGGGCAGCTGGCGAACGGCGGCCGCGCGGAGGGGAGGGCGCGCAGGAGAAGCAGAAGGCGGAGGAGAACGCAGAGGGGACGACGGCGAGGAGTAGGAGAACGCGGAGGAGAGGAGGAGGAGAGGACGAGGGAGAGAAGAGCAGGAGGATGAGAAGGAGGAGGAGGGGGGAGGACGACGAGGCGAAGGAGGAAAATGAGGAGGAGGAGGAGGAAGAGGAGGAGGAGGAGGAGGAGCAGGAGGAGGAGGAGAAAGAGAGGAGGAGGAGGAGCAGGAGGAGGAGGAAGCGGAGGAAGAAAAGGAAAAGGAAAAGGAAAAGTAAAAGGAGGATGAGGATGAGGATGAGGATGAGGACGAGGAGGAGGAGGAGGAGGAGGAGGAGGAGGAGGAGGAGGAGGAGAACGACGACGACTGGGGAGAGTGTGACACGGGAGGGTGTATCTCTGCGCCTCCTGTGATCGCCGACAGGAGGCTGTGTACCCGCACTCCCACTCTCAGCTCGGCGTCCTCTGCGTCCTCCGCAAATCACCTCCTCTGCGCCACTCCTTGTGGCTTTCGGGTGACTCGGGCCTCCAGCGGCCGTTCGGGACGATCCGGGCACCCCGGGAAATCCCTCGACGAGGCGCAGCTGCTGGAGAGCATCCCGAGGCCAGAGAACGGCCGGGAACCATCGACAACGCCAGAACTCCAAACCATTGCGCCCCCCTCCTGAGAGCCCCCGCACCTGCGCGACTCGTCCCCTCCTCCTCCTCCTCCTCCTCCTCCTCCTCACCTCCTCCTCCTCCTCCTCCTCCTCCTCCCCCTCCTCCTACCTTCCTTCCTCCTCCTCCTCCTCCTCCTCCCCTCTCCTCCTCCTCCTTCTCCTCCTCCCTCCTCCTCTCCTCCTCCCTCCGCCTCCTCCTCTCCCTCCTCCTCCTCTCCTCCTCCTCCTCCCCCTCCTCCTCCTCCTCCTCCTCCTCCTCCTCCCTCCTCCTCCTCCTCCTCCTCCTCCTCCTCCTCCTCCTCCTCCTCCTCCTGCGGGCCTGTCGCCGTCGACGGCCAGGTCATCGGCGTCGACCCCCATGGCCATCGACATGCACGACTGCAGCCCGCCGCCGGCTGCGCCCTCCTCCCCCGGGCGGCCGCGGGCTTGCGGAAGAGGGGCGAGGCGGGACGCACAGAGACATGCAGGCCTCGGAACAAACTAGCGAACACTCATGCCACATTCATCCGTCAACGCCTCCCCCCCCAATGTTCAAAGTTGGCGGTGGGTCCGATGAGATGCACTTCGGCCGCAGTCTCCCCCGCGCGTGCCAACATTGAGTTTTGGGGGGAGGGGGAGTGTTCAGTAATTGTTTCCCTCTACCGTACTAATACCATATGTTTTCCTTGGAGGCGCGCGTCCAAGCCGAACATATGGTATACCCATCTTGTAGTACATCGTTTCCCGAGCGGTGTGGCCAGAAAGCGCCCGCCACGACGCATATACATATATATATATATATATATAGAAGAAGATTTCTCGGTGCGCGCGCCGCCCCTGGGGGTGCGACGCACATACGCACATATAGTATAAATATGTTGGGGTGACGCCGATGAGGCGGGGATATGTCCATATCCTCCGCCTGTGGACATGACGTCCTGGGATCCCAGCGGCGGTGGACATGAATAGGCTGCGCAGTTACATTGGGTGGACAGCGCGTTGCTTCCGCGTGCTGCTCGTCTTGGCGAAGCCTTCAGACGTACATCATGCTCTGGCAGAGCAAGCGAAGCGAAAGGGGAGAAGAAGGAGGGAGCCGAAGAGAGCTTACAGAATCCGGGGTCCCCCTGATTCAAAACGGTCCCTGACACGTCGTGCCATTACCCTCTCAACATTCCCGTGCACACGCACACACGCTGACAAGTTGCTGAGCTGAGTTGGGTGGAGAGCATGGTGCTGCCGTGTGCTGCTCGTCTTGGCGAAGCTTCAAGACGCACAGAACGCCCGACATCCCAAGAAGGGTTCAAGGAAGGAGGAGGAGGAGGAGGAGGAGGAGGAGGAGGAGGAGGAGGAGGAGGAGGAGGAGGAGGGAGGAGGAGGAGGAGGAGGAGGAGGAGGCGGAGGGGGAGGAGGAGGAGGAGGAGAGGAGGAGGAGGAGGAGGAGGAGGAGGAGGAAGGAGGAGGAGGAGGAGGAGGTGCCCTGCACAGAGGAAAGACGACGGTAAGGCGTCGGGCTGCGAAGAGACACCCTCCGGGCTGTCCCGGCCGGCCTCCGCGGCCCCCGACGTCGGAGCCGCCGCATACACTATTTGTGTCGGAGGTGCGCCCCAAACGAGGTGAAACCATATGGCGGACATGTCTACTCCAGATTTCGTAATAAAGGGAGGGGGGTCTCATTTCGGGGGGGGGTCTCCTCCAGGCTATCTTGGAGGGCCTGGGGGGGGTCTGGGGACGATGTTTTGGAGGGTTCTCCCACGGGGGGGGGTCTAAAACTTCTCGTCTGGGGGGGTTGAGACCCCCTCCCTTTTATTACGAAATCTGGAGTACTTCAGGACGAGATAGCGCCGGATACTCCCGCAGAGGCGTGGCGAACACAGCGACAGCAAAGCAGGGCGGACACCAGCATCCAAGGAGCTCAACAGACAGGGCGGAGATTTCTGCCCTGCTTGCGAAACCCAACAGGGTACGGCGGATCCGAAGTCGGGGTGAAGCCAAATCCGCTCCGAATCGGTCCCCAGACCCCTCCCGGGGTCCATCTGGTGCAGTTTCTCGCCCCGGGTCCGCTTCTGGCGGCCCCGGGCTCCGAGAAGGGCCCCGCGGAGACACGGAGCGACCAAAAGACAACCTCCTCGACCCCGCCAGCGTGCGGCGGATCCGAAGAGGACGGCGGCTCCGAAGTCGGGGCCCCCCCCGAGCAGCCCCCCGGCTGGCCTCAGCGCCCCGGCGCCGCCTCCGGCAGCGCCCCCGTGGGGCGCTGCCCCCCCCCCTAATCTGGGGGGGGGGACGACGCACGAGCTCGGTCCTCCCGCTCGACACCAGCTCGGCTCCTGTCCGACTCCAGCTCGGCGCGGCGTCGACGCACGAGCGGAGCGAGCGGCTGCAGGAGGTCCTCCAGAGCGAGCCTCTACAGAAGCAGGAAGCGCCACACAAACGTAGACTTGTGGCGCTCCGCGCGGATTTCTTGAATTCGCGCTGGACCCCCCTCCTTGGCGCCCAGAGCGCGCCAGGGGCGGCGCCGGAGGCGCCGCCGGGGGGCCAGGCGCGGGTCCAAGAAATCCGAGCGGAGCGCCAAAAGTTCATGTTCGTGTGTTTTTCCTTCTTCGAATCTAGGCGTCCTCCCTCCGGGAGGTGCTGCGGCCGTCCTCTTCCTCCTCCTCCTCCTCTTCCGCCTCCTCCTCCTCCTGCTCCTCCTCCTCCTCCTCCTCCTCCTCCTCCTCCTCCTCCTCCTCTCTCTTTCTCTCTCTCTCTCTCTATTTCTATTTCTCTTTCTCTTTCTCTTTCTCTCTTTCTCTTCTCTTTCTCCTCCTCCTCCTCCTCCTCCTCATCCTTTTCCTCTCCTCCTCTCTTTCTCCTCCTCCTCCTCCTCCTCCTCCTCCTCCGCCTCCTCCTCCTCCTCCCTCCTCCTCCTCCTCCTCCTCCTATTCCTCCTCTGCCTCCTCCTCCTCCTCCTCCTCCTCCTCCTCTGCTCGTCGTCGTCCTCCTCCTCCTCCTCCTCCTCCTCCTCCTCCTCCTCCTCCTCCCTCCCTCCGTGAGGTGCTGAGGCCGTCCTGAACTTGCCAGGGTGGCCCGTGCGCAGCCCGAAGCCCTTTTTTTCACCAGGAGGGGAGGGCGCAGAGAGGAGACAGTGAGGGAGGAGGAGGAGGAGGAGGAGGAGGAGGAGGAGGAGGAGAGGAGGAGGAGGAGGAGGGAGGAGGAGGAGGAGGAGAGGAGGGGGAGGGGGAGGAGAAGGTGAAGGAGGAGGAGGAGGAGGAGGAGGAGGAGGAGGAGGAGGAGGGAGGAGGAGGAGGAGGAGAGGGGAAAAAAAAAAAAGGGAGGAGGAGGAGCAGGAGGAGAGGAGGAGGAGGAGGAGGAGGAGGAGGAGGAGGCGGAGGAGGAGGAGGAGGAGGAGGAGGAGGAGGAGGAGGAGGAGGACGAGGAGAAGGAGGAGGAGGAGGAGGAGGAATAGGATGTCCAGGATGTCCGCCTTCACGTAGTGAAAACAAGGCTTAATGTCCAGCACTTTGGAGGCAGGCCGCGTTCAATCCTGTCGAGATATTCGCGCCTGGCCTTCGAGATGGGCAATTTGCACGGTTCCGCTAGCCCCCTGAGCTGGGCTTGACCGTAGAAACCGCATGTGCCGCAATACCACAACTGAAGGTCTTTATGATAAATCAAGGCATGACGGGATGGGTCCAACCCCCAGCCAAGTGTAAACGCCGTCCTCTCGGAACACGGGCAATCTGGCTATTCACATGGAGGAGTTGGAAGCACTCACTTTTTAACCATCCCGACACCGTAGCATTGGTCACAGAGCCTCTACACACACTGCACGCCCTACCACTTTCGGTCAGGGAGTGGGCAGACGCGAAGCGTGCGATAGCACTAGGAGGAGGCGGGGGAGGAGGGGGTGGGCCAGCACGCGCTGGGCCGCCAACTTCTCCTGACATCTGAGAGGCCCGAATCGAACCGAGGCCGACCCGTAGTAGCCTTCTCCGAACAAGCATGGCCTTATGTTCGATGGACATAACTCGAAAACGACTGACCTGGGGAACCCGCGCGTGCGCGGCTGATTCTCCAGCAAGGACGTCAACACAAGCATTGCCTATCACGAGCCAACCCGGAATTCCACGAAAGAGGTACTCCCGCGGACTGAGACGCGAGGGGACTTGCATGATTATAATACTGGTCGGATGCCGAGCTTGCCGCTGTAGGAGCTTGCCTACCTCTCTCCAGAGATCGGCCTGTGGCCCCTCGGGTCTGCGGAAAAGCTCAGAGTACCACCCCCTCGCCACCTCAGCACAATCAGTTACATACACTAGCACTCCAACATAATATCGGAGGGCCCAACGGAAGGCGAGGAGCTCGCCTCTCGGAACACTCTGGGAGGCCCCAGGGAGCGGCCCCATGATAAAGGGCCCCAAAGCAGGTGGATCGTAGCTAGCGACAGTAGCAACGGCCAGCCCTACCCTACGTAGCCTAGAGTCGCGGGTATCTTTGCCCCCCGAGGCGTCCCCGAAAAGGACCAAAGGCTCAAGTGACGAGCCCGCGCCTAGACAACCCTCCTCCGCAGAGCCTCCGAGCCAGTTGCCCCCGATAGTGGCCTCTTCTGAAGGAGGAGGAGGAACAGAAGTCCAAGACGAGGGAATGAGGCCTCGCATCCAAAAACAGGGAAACACATCAGACTCAGAAACAGCCTGGGTGAGAAGGTCGCTGGAATCAGCATGCGCTTTAGACGCGGAACTGGCGTTAGCCTCACATGTCCCACATCTATGCACAGGAGTCTCTGGCCCTTTCCCGCAACGAAGACAGTCCGATGAACTGCGCAAGTTGGCCAGGAAACTCCGTTCGCGTGTCCAGAACCCGCCCGTCGCAATCGAGACGAGCAGCTCCGACAGCTGCCTGCCCTTCTTGACGTCCTGCAGGTCGCGGATCATAGCCTGCAGCGGGGCCAGGTCAACGCCGTCGGCGACGCCCTCGCCGCAGAACTGCGTAGCTGCAACTCGCCACTGCTGAAGCTCTCGTGTTCGCTGGAACTCATCAAGAAGAGGTCCTGCTTGGTCCAGCGCCTCAAAGTCACTCCCGTGAAACTGCCACGAGTGCGACATCGAAGAACCATCCTGAGGTACTTCCCATTCTGTCGGCGAGGTCGGCTTCCACCCAGCTTCCAGCAGGTGCATAATCACTGTCGTCATGGGCCCTCGGATGTGACGCACTCGCTAGCCATCTGGGAGACTGGAAAGGTGAGCGACGGCTCGGGGCCAAGCCCGAACAATTGCTGGTCGAATCTGAGGGTCAGTCAACCACACACTCAGCCATTGGGGTAGACACTGCCGCGGGCGCTGCACTCCAGGGCCACTCCCTCGAAGACGAAGCGCCAGCAGCGTCGTGAGGCACCGACCCCTATTGGCCGATCCCGCGGCAGCGCCGAGCCTGCGGCGCTGGGTCTGCAGC